CTCAAGGCTAGCGCTCTACCACTTGAGCCACAGCACTACTTTCAGCTTTTTCTGCTTAAGTGGTGCTGAGGAATCGAATCCAGGGCCTCATGCATGCAAGACAAGCGCTCCACCACTGAGCCACCTTCCCAGCCCCTGTTTGTTTCCCTTCCAGAACAAAACTTGCAATAAAGAGTAGGATATTTCCACATTGTGTCAACTGCTCATCCATTACTTAATTCAGTATTTGGTGCATATTAGGAATGAACTATTTATTGACTAGATTTATAAAGAACATAAATACTGTATATTCCACTTTATCTACAAAAAGATTCAGTAATTTGGCCTTGAAATGATGAAAAGTGAGCTTAGAACATTTCTGCTCATCCTGTGAAAGTTTCTTTGAGAGGATAGCAGAGACCTCAAGAACCATGATAACTGAATTGGAAAGAGCTTACACAAATGGACAGAGGGGTAGAAGGGGACTTATGAAGTGTGGACAGGTGCAGGAAACAGAAGTACATGGGCATGGGGATCATCAAAGCTAATATCTACTCCTAGCTGATTCTGAAATTGACTCAAGTGGTCTCTGTACCTGCTTGTTCTACATGGTTGCTGGGTGTGTGCAACAGTAATCTCATCAAGCTTGCTTGTTTAGAGCTTGGCAAAAGTGCTCTGCATTAAGAACAAGGCTTGTGGCAGAAACATCTTGATGGACCTATTTTGTTGGGCTGCACAGTTCTTTCACAGCTTCTTCATCAGCTCAAGATCAGTATGTTAGATGCATAGATGCACTGGGTGAGGGATTTGCAGCTCCAAGTATGTTCTACTCACGTTTATCTGTGGCTCTGCAAATTGTTCTGCATGTTCATTTGCCTAGACCATGCAAAAGAAGTTGCTAAACTTCTTTTGAAAGCACATCAAATTCAGAATGAAATGCAGCATGTAGATATTTGTTCTAATGTGTGGCTTGCAGACCAGCTGTTTTTTTCTTCTTCATCATGAGTATTTTCATGTCACTTACATGAAAACCCTGACTGTACCTGTACTGTACTGAGACTTAAGCAGTTGATCTCCAAAAAAAGAGGTATCGGAAAATTCATATCCAAGAATAGAACCTTTATTCTAGCTTCTTTGGTTATCAGCTGAGATGGCATTTTCTACATTATTATTCAGTGTTATCAATTTCCCTGTTTAATTATTAAGCTTTCCATGAAGTTCTGAAGCCATTCAGTGCATCTTGCACTAGAATTACCTGTCTGGAGATTGCCAGCCTCCAAGTCAATACACATACAAAAATCTAAGCATAGAAATGTGTTGTTCAACTTAGTCAACTCTATTGGATAGTTACAATATAAATGAGAACTAACTTCTAAGCAGTATAGATTCACTTATAATCAGAAAAAAAAGAAATATGTTGTTAACAAGGCCACACTCACTGTTGGCTCAAGTGTTAGAGTGCTAGCCTATAGCAAATGAAGCTCAGGGACAGTGCCCAGGCCCTGAGTTCCAGTCCTAGAACTGGCAAAAAAAGAAAAGAAAAAATAAAAACAAGGCCACACTGAAGCTGCCAATACAACTATTTTCACTGAAGCATTATTGACATAGCTAAGACATGGAATCAACCCAAATGCCCTTCAGCAGATGAATGGATCAAGAAAATGTGGTTTTAATAGACAATGGAACTCTATGCTTCTATCAGAAAGAATGACAGTGTCCCATTTGTAAAGAAATGGAAAGACTTGGAAAAAGTCATATTGAGTGAAGTAAGCCAGACCCAGAAAAACATAGGTTCCATGTTTCTCCCATTTGTAATAATTAGAATATGTCTAAGATAGTCCTGGCAGAGGATCACAATAGCTCAATAGCTATTTTCATATGACCATATAAAATGATGCTAATCGAAATGAACCCCAACATATGGAAACAAGAGGGTTTTCTTTGAGTTTGGTTTTTGTTTTTGTTTTTTAATGTGCTGTGTGAAGTTATTTCTTTTTTCTTTCTTTTTGTCCTTTGCTTTATCCTCGGTCGTCACTGGTTTTTATTTTGGTACCCTGTGTCTTGTATATATGTTTATGTGATTGGGGGAAGGGAAGGGGAATAACAAAATGCAGGACAAAGGACAAAGGGTGAACCAACACAACAGCAATACTCACAAGACACTGTTAGAAATGAACTGTACAACTTGAGGGGAGGGAAAGTGGGAGAAAACAAGGAGAGGCTACTATTCAACAAAAAAATGTACTTATTACTCTACTTATATAACTATAACCCCTCTATACATCACCCTTAAAATAAAATTAAATTAATTTTTTAAAAAGACTGGTCATTTAAAAATAGGATGTTGAGCTCTACAGTTAATCACTGGCACATCGCCTAGAATGTAAAAGAAGTAACACTTCATGAAAAATTGAAAATACTAAAAAACAAATAAGTGTTGTTGTCATTTCAACATTGCTTTGGCTATTTCTTCAGTTCCACTTTTTTTTTGCCAGTCATGGGGTCTGAACTGTGAGCCTGGGCACTGTCCCTCAGCTCTTCAGCTCAAGGCTAGTGCTCTACCACTTAGACCACAGTACCACTTCTGGCTTTTTCTGCTTGTGTGCTGAGGAATTGAACTTGAGGCCCCATGCATGCAAGGCAAGCACTCTACCACTGAGCCACCTTCTCAACCCTTCAGTTCCAATTTTTTAAAAGGACAATCTTCTGCAGCATTTGCAGATGAAAAGTCTCCATTCTAGGCTCCTCAAAAAACTAAACATAAAGCTCCCAGCAATCCCACTCCCAAGCACCTACCCAAATGACCAAAGACAGCCATACTAAAGCTATCAGCACAACCACATTCATTGCAGTGTTATTTACCATAGCAAAAATATAGTACCAACCCAGATGCCCCTCAGTAGAGGAATGGATCAAGATGATATGCTATATATACACAATGGAGTCCTATGCTTCCATCAGAAAGAATGATATTGCCCCATTCATAAGGAAATGGAGAGACCTGGAAAAATTAAGAAATTACATTAAGTGAAGCAAGCCTGGTCCAAGGAAATATAGGTTTTATGGTTTCCCTCATTTGTAATAACTAGAATATGTCTGTAATATACTTAGCAAGAGATTACAATAGCCCAATCACTAAGTGCATAGGACCATATTTAATGAAGCATATCAAAATGGACTCCAAGAGTTGGAAACAAGAGGTTTTTATTATGTCATGTATACACCTATTTCTCTTTCTTTTCTTTCTGTTTTAGTTTTCTGTACCCTTTGTCCTGTATATAGCTTAACTGATCCATGGAAGGGAAAGGGAATCACAAACAGCAAGACAAAGGATAAACTAATGCAACAAGGATACTCACTAGACACTATGTTGGAAGTAATTTAATAACTTGGAGGTCAACAAATGGGGAGTGATAAGTAGGAGAAAATGAGGGAGGGGTAACAATGTTTAAAAAGAAATGTATTCAACATAGTATTTTGTACATCTCATTGTTACAATGGGTCAACCTGTATCCTTATTTCAGCATTTTGTTATTTCCCTTCCCCTCCCCAAATTAGAAAAATGTATATACAAGATGCAGGGTATCAGAATCAAATACAGTGAAAATGGGTTATATTGTGGGGAAGAACATACCAAAGAAACAAAAAAATTACATAGTACATTATAAATATGTTAAAAATAGCAAGAACAAAATAAACCACTTGTGTTCCTATCTTGGGATTCATTTAACTTAATATCATCTTGTATGGTCATATGTACATAGCTTTTGGTCTTTTCTGCTTGTCCTAGACATAGACTAGTTATTGCAAATAAGGGAAACCATGGGACCTATGTTTCTTTGGGAGTTGGGGAGGTGAAGTAGGAAGGGATGGTAGGGGAAAAACATAGGAGGAAGTAACAATGCTCCATAGGAAATGCACTGATTACCTTACCCATGTAACTGTAACCCCTCTGTACAGTATTTTTACAATAAAAATTGTATAAAAAGAAAGACACCATGGTGATATAAATAAATAAACTACAAAAAAAAGAAATGTACTCATTACCTTACTTATGTAACTGAAACGTGTTCATCACTTTTACAATACATTTTTAAAGAAAAATTAAAAAAGAAAAGTCTTCATTCTGCATTCACCTTTCAATATTCACCTGTTGAGTAATCAAATGCAAGCTACTATATTGTATCTCAATAGGAAAACCTGAGAGGAAATGAATGCACAGATGGGTGTGAATTAGATTAATGTGAAAACTTGCCAAAACTTGTGTATACAGATTGTACATGGGTTTTGTTATTTGAGGTAAATTTGTGCTGAACAGTCACCATAAACACTGAATTAGCAAATACCAAATCATGGCTCCTAGGGGAAATTCAAGTTTGGTTTCTATGTGCTTCTTGTCACAATATTTTCAACAACTGATCAATGCATAAACCAATTTTATTTGTATGTCTGTTTAAAGACACTTTATTTAATATACATTATTGATTTATTCACAGTAAATTCACAACCAGCAGCAATAAGAGAGTTCCTCTGCAAGGCACCTCTCGGCCTTCCTGTATCACAAGTTGGCACTAGTTAGCACTTCAGTACTGGGCCATTTAAAACAGTACAATCTCCACACTAAAGCCAAGCACAGCAGCTTAAGCCTATAATTGTAGCTACTTGGGAGATAGACATCAGAATATCACAGTTCAGGCCAGTCTGGACAAAAAGTTTTCATAACACCATCTCAACCAAGAACTGGGTGTAGTCACATGCATTTGTAATTCCAGCATGGTAGTAGAACAATGTTTGGGCACGTGCACCTGTTATCCCCAGTGATAAGGGGAAACACAAGTAAGATTATCATACCCAAGCCGAGCGCTGGTGGCTTACACCTGTAATCGTAACTACTCAGGAAGCTGAGATCTAAGGATCACAGTTGAAAGCCAGCCCAGGGCTTATCTCCAATTAACCACAAAAAAACCAGAAGTGGTATTGTAGCTCAAGTGGCAGAAGTTTAGCCTTGAGTTGAAGAGCTCAAGGACAGCACCTAGGACCAGAGTTCAAGCCGAACAACCGACAAAAAAGAAAATGATCATAGCGGAAGCTGTCCCAGGAATGAGATGAGACCGTACTTTGAAAATAACCAATGTAAAAACAGACGTAGAGGCATGTTCAAGAGGTAAAGTACCTACCTAGCAAGATTGAATCCCAGAATTCAATTCCTAATGTTACAAAAATAATTTAGCTATAAAGTGAAAGAATATTTAAGTGGTAATATACACCACGTGTACAGCACATGATCGTGGTGATTCATGCTTATAGTTCTAACTGCTCAGTGGCTGAGATCCGGAGGTTCAGGATTTGAGGCTACCATAGTCAAAAAGTTCAGGAGAAGTCATTTCAAACAATAAAAAGCTGAGTGGACTTTTGGTTATGGGAACCAAAAGTAGGATTGTTGTCAAAAGAAAGACTCCATTTAAAAAATAACAAATGATTGACCAGGAAACGCAACAAATCAAAGAAAGGTTGGACAAATGGGATTGCATGAAACTGCAGAGCTTCTGCATGGCAAAGGACATAGCTAGCAAGTTCAATAACAAACTCACAGATTGGAAGAAGATATTGGGTAGCCACATAACCGACAAGGGCCTCATATCTAAAATATACTTAGAACTCAAAAAATTAAATCCCCCAACAACAAATCCTCAAAGAACCAACCACCCCAGTAATAAATGGGCTAAAGACTTAGAGAGGCTTCTCTAAAAAGGAAATAAGATTGGTCAATAGACACATGAAGAAATGCTCAAATTATCTAGCCACAAAAGAAATGCAAATCAAAATAACATTGAGATTCCACATCACCCCAGTTAGAATGGCTAGAATCAAGAAATCTAATAACAAAGATGCTGGAGGGGAGGTGGCCAAAAGGGAACCCTACTCCATTGTTGGTGGGAATGTAAACTTGTTCAACCACTCTGGAAAGCAGTATGGAGGTTCCTCAAAAGACTTCACAAATAGCTCCCCTATGACCCAGCAATCCCACTTTTGGGCATTTACCCAAATGATCAAAAACAAGACCATACTAAAGCTACCAGACACAACTATGTTTATTGCAGCATTATTTACCATAGCTAGGATATGGAACCAACCCAGATGCCCCTCAGTAGATGAATGGATCAAGAAAATGTGGTATAATATATATGTATATATATATATGTGTGTATATATATATATATATACATATACATATATATGATGGAATTCTGTGCTTCCATCAGAAAGAATGGCATCACTCATTTCTTAGGAAATGGAAAGACTTGGAAAAAAAAATCATATTAAGTGAACTAGGCCAGACCCAAAGAAATATAGGTTCCATGGTTTCCCTTACTTGAAATAATTAGTATATGTCTCGGATAATCTTATCAAATGAGCAGAAAAGATTTTTAGAAAACTATGTACATATGAACATATAAGATGATGCTAAGCAAAATGAACCTCCCCAAGATATGGACACAAGAGGTCTTTCTTTGTTGTTGTTGTTGTTGTTGTTAATGTACTATGTGATTTTTTTGTTTCTTTTTTATGTTCTTCTCCCTACAATATATTCACTGTTGTCACTGTATTTGATTTTGGCGCCCTGCATCTTGTATATACATTTTATAATCTGAGGAAGGGAAAAATGCTGAAACAAGGACACAGGATGACCCACTGCAACAATGATACTCACAAGACACTATGTTGGAAATTAACTTTACAACTTGGGGGAGAGGAGGAGTAAAGTTGGTGAGGAGGGAAGGGATAGTAGGAGAACAACAAAGGAGGGGCTAACAATGCTCAACAAAAATATATACTCATTACCTTATTGATATAACTGCAAACCTTCTGTAAAGCATCTTTACAAGAAAACAAAATTTAAAAATAAAATAACAAATGCAAAAAGGACTATGAGTGTGGCTCAAGTGGCTGAAGAATACTTGCCTAGCAGGCTAAGGCCCTGAGTTCAAACCCCAGCACTGTCAAAAAGAAAAAGAAAATATAAAACTTACATCTTTTTATCTTTATTTCACCATTCTCCTTAAAATCTTGGCTAGAAGTTTTTGTTAGATAAGTCTTTTATGCCTTTATGTTCTGCTGAAACTTAAAGCATTGCTATTTATTTTTTATTTTTTTATTGTAAAGATACTGCACAAAGTGGTAACAGTTACATGAGTAGGGTAATGAGTACATTTCCTATCAATCATTGTTACCCCCTCCTTTGATTTCCCCCACCATCACTTCTCTCCCCACCTCCCCAACTCCTCCCTTCCCACTCTGACATTGTAAAGTTCATTTTCAACATAGTGTCCTGTATATCTCATCATCACAATAGGTCAACCTGCATCCCCATTTAATCATTCTGCTATACTCCTGACACTCCCCAAATTATAAAACTGTATATACAAGATGTGGAACACTGGAAGTAAATACAGTAAAAACAGGGGTTATACTGTGGGGGAAGAACTTACAAAAGAAACAAAAGAATCATATACTGCAATATACATACATTAAAAACAATAGCAAGAAAGAAAAAAAACCTTGTGTTCCTGTCTTGGAGTACAATTCATGGTCATATGTACATACCTTTGACCTCTGTTTGTCATAGATATGTACTAGACATTGAAAACAAAGGAAACTATGGGACCTATGTTTCTTTGGGCTTGGCTTACTTCACTTAATATAATTTACAAGTCTTTCCATTTCCTAACAAATGGGACAATGTCATTCTTTATGATGGAGGCATAGAATTCATTGTGTGTGTGTGTGTGTGTGTGTGTGTGTGTGTGTGTGTGTATTCCACATTTTCTTCATCCATTCATCTACTGAGGGACATTGGGGTTGGTTCCATATCTTAGCTATGGTGAATAATGCTGTGATAAACATGGTTGTGATGGTAGCTTTGGTATGACCTTGTTTGTGATCATTTGGATAAATGCCCCAAAGTGGAATTGCTGGGTCATAGGGGAGCTCTATGTGGAGTCTTTTGAGGAACCTCCATACTGCTTTCCAAAGTGGTTGAACAAGTTTACACTCCTACCAACAATGCAATAGGGTTCCCTTTTGTCCACCTCCCCTCCAGCATTTGTTGTTATTAGATATCTTGATTCTAGCCATTCTAACTGGGGTGAGGTGGAATCTCAATGTTGTCTTATTTGCATTTCTTTTATGGCTGGAGAAGTTAAGCATTTCTTCATGTGTCTATCGGCCATTCTTATTTCATCTTCAGAGAAGACTCTCTCTAAGTCTTTAGCCCACTTATTTATCAGGCATTTGTTTCTTTGAGGATTTAATTTTTTCAGTTCTAAGTATATTTTAGATATGAGACCCTTGTCCATTGTATGGCTAATGAAGATCTTCTTCCAGTCCATAGGATTTCTATTGATCTTGCTAGCTATGTTCTTTGCCATGCAGAAGCTCTGCAGTTTCGTGCAATCCCATTTGTCCAACCTTTCTTTGATTTGTTGTGTTTCTGGGTCTCTATTAAGAAAATTTTGGCCTGTGCCAAGGAGCCCTAGAGTTTCTTCTATTCCTTCCTGTAATTATTTCAGGGTGTCTGCTTTGACCTCGAGGTCTTTGATCCATTTGGAGTTGATTCTGGTGCAGTTTTATTTATACAGATCTAACTTTAGTTTTCTACAAGTAGTTAACGAGTTTTGCCGGCACCATTTACTGAAAAGGCTGTCTTTCTTCTTTAGCTCCCTTATCAAAGATTAGGTGTCTGTAAGTCTGTGGGTTCATTTCTGGGTCTTCACTTCTATTCCATTGGTCCTCAGGTCTGTTCTTGTGCCAGTACCAAGATATTTTATGTTTTTGAATTCAGTGCCCAGGCCCTGAGTTCAAGCCTCAGAATCCCCTCCCCCTGGGGGAAAAAATAAAGCATTGTATTCTTTTCTACCCTGCTTTTCTAGTTTTTCTCTTAAAACTGTTTCAGCACACGCATCCCCTCTCCACTGGTAATTCAGCTTTTTCTTTCTCTCCTGCTCTCTTCAAGACAGCCAGACCCCTCTGAGCTTTTCTCTGTGATTGCTTAATGCATTCTAGGCTCAGCAATTCACCGTCTTTGCTGGGGAAAAAAAAAAAAGATGATGGCCTCTACTGGGGAGACTTCGGAAAAAACAATACGAAGACTGTAGTGCTTGATTTTTTTCTTTAATTTTTGTATTCCATAAGATTTTTTCACTTAGCTGTAGAAGGAATCATTTCCAAACGTGCAAGAAAGCTTACACTAAAACGGATTACCTATATCGCAATTGACCTTTGAGTAAATGCATGCATTTCACAGCAATCCAGTTCAATCAAATGTCCTAGGAAGATACATTCACACAACTTCAACATCAGAATTAAAGTTTAAAGATGTACATTTTAGTAACTCTCCAAAAGCCAAAAAGTTCAATCTCCATATTCAATATATGTGACATTATTGTTTCTCAATACAATGATAGTTGATGTGGACATTTCTGTCTTTGTGAATCACAAAAGGTTTTCTGTGCAGAAATAAAGAAGCAATTCCCATCCTTTTGTTCTCTTAGGTATTGCATGATTATTTTAGCAGAGCAATTACTAAAAACAATTACATATATATAGTTATATGTAGTTATAACTGTACATATAATGATTAACAAAATTCTCAGGCTCTGTTGATACTTTGAATTTCTTATTTTCCTTTTCTAATATTTTATTCTTTGCCCTAATAAGAAGAAATTACATAGTTCCAAAAACAGACAAAGTGAGACAATTAGGAACAATTATGTGAATTGAGTCCATTTCCTAAAATATCATAACATACATATAATTTGTTTATTATGTGAAAAGAATTAATTAGCCTACTCATAAGAAATTGTTATAAAGGGAAAAATTAATATGTCATACACTGACATATTCTAGATTCTTTGAATGCCTTTTAAATTGCCATCTAGTCATTAGTTAATTGTTGAAATTAAGCTAATTTTTGACTGTTAATCCCAAAATATGCCCCCAAAATTCATCATTAAAAGTTACTTACATATTAAAATGGATTAAATTAACATTGGAGTCATTTTTAACTATGAATTAAAGCAAACATTATTTCTGACCCCTTTAACATAAAGAATGGTATTGTTTTTGTATTTGAAAATATAAAAATCTTTTTCTTTTATTTTTTCTGTCAATAATGGGGCTTGAACTCTGGGCTTGGGCACTGTCCCTCAACTCTTCAGCTCAAGGCAAGCGCTCTACCACTTGAGCTACAGCACCATTTCTGGTTTTCTGGTGGTTTATTGGAGACAAGAGTCTCAGGGTCTTTCCTGCCCGGACTGGCTTTGAACGATGATCCTCAGATCTCAGCCTCCTGAGTAGCTAGGATTATAGGTGTGAGCCACCAGCTCCCGGCAAATATAAAAATCTTATAATAAATTGTCTCACTCTGGAATTTGGCTCCACAGAAACAGGTTCAGGATCACTCTGAAAACCTCCTTCAAGTCAGGCACCAGCAGATCACTCTTGTAATCCTAGCTACTCATAGATCTGAGGGTCACAGTTTGAAGGCAGCCAGGGAAGATCCATGATAGTCTAATCTATAATTAACCATCAAAAAGATGGGGGAAGAAGTGTGGTTCAAGTAGCAGAGTGCTAATATTTGACACAATAACTCAGGGCGAGCCTCCAGGCCCCAAGTTCAAGTCCCAGCACTGGTACACACATGCATAAGCGCGCACACACACACACTAATTCAACAAACCCTAAAGGGTGATTATTTTCTGCATTTCTGGAAGCCTTTTTGCTTCTCTGACACCCTTTGGCCACTGTTGGCTCTCTACAGAGGTGGTCTATTGCTCTCATGACTCAACAGTTTTTCTAACCCCTCAGTGCCAGTATCTCCTGTTTGTCATGATATACCACTGTATGAAGAACAATTATGATGTGCCATCTAAAAACAGTCAACAAACCATACTGACATGCCCGAGGAAGACAGCTTGGATCAAGAGAACCAAGAAAGCCAGGATCCCAGAGACCTAGGAGATAAGGATACAATTTTCCTTAATGACTTTGTTTTGAAGAGATGGCATCTATGACCTTGAAAAAGATATTTCTGAGTTGTCAAACCTGAAAGGGTTTCTATTAAAGATTTAAACACATTCCAAAGAGGTAGAGAAATGATTTACATTAAAGAGGATATGTCCATAATCCCAGCTACTCAGGAGGTAGGGACAGGAGCATCAGAGCTCAAGGCCAAAATGATTTAAAAATGAAAAAAACAGTTAACAAGAATCTATCAAACACAATGAACATAGTTGTTCTGGTAAAAGCTATTGATTTTTGTGGGTTAATTTTATACCCTGCTACTTTGTCAGTTTCAGAAAAATGCAAGTAACTTGAGGGAGGAATCTATGGGGATCTTTAAATACAGGATCATGTCATCTGCAAAGAGATAGTTTTGCTTCTTCTTTCTCTATTTAGATACCCTTTACATTTATTTCTTGCCTTATGGCTCTTGCTAGGAATTTCAGTACTATATTGAAGAGGAATAGAGAAAGTGAACATCATTGTCTCATTCTTGATTTTAGAGTAAATAGTTTTAACTTTTCACCATTAAATATAATTCTGGCTATAGGTTTGTCATATGCAGTCTTTATTATATTGAGGAATGTTTCATGGATTCCTATCTTCTCCAGAGCTTTTATCATAAGGGGGTGTTGAATCTTGTCAAATGCTTTTTCTGTATTGGGATCATCATGTGGTTCTTGTCCTTGCTTCTGTTGATGTGTTAAATTACATCAATTGACTCATGTATATTGAACCAGATTTGTATCCCTAGAATTAATCCCATTTAATCATAGTGTATGATTTGGAGGGATTAGTTGTTGAATTCCTACTGCCAGAATTTTATTGAGAAGTTTTACATGGATGTTCATCAAAGAGATGGGTCTACAGATCTCTTTCTTTGATGGGTCCCTATCTGGGAAACAGCTACCCAACTCATAAATGGGCTAAACACTTAAAGAGAGACTTTTCAGAAGAAGAAGTAAGAATGGACAATAGACACATGAAGAAATGTTCAACATCTCTGGCCATAGAAGAAATTCAAGTCAAAGCAACATTGAGATTCCACTTCACCCCAGTGGCCATTATCAATAAAGATTAACAGTAACAAATGCTGTCCATGATCTGGCCAAAAAGGAACTCTACTACACTGTTGGTGACTGTAAACTTGTTAAACCACTCTGGAAAGCAGTATGGAGGTTCCTCAAACCACTAAACACAGAGCTTCCCTATGACCCATCAATCCCACTCCTGGGCATTTATCCAATAGAACACAAACCAGGCCACACTAAAGCTACCAGCACAACCATGTTCACTGAAGCATTGTCTTCCAAGACAGGGAATCAACCCAGATGCCCTTCAATGGACAAATGGATCAAGAAAATGTGGCATATATACACAATGGATTTCTACTGTTCCAGCAGAAAAAAAACCAAGATTGTATCATTCATAAGAAAATGGAAAGACCTGGAAAAAATTATATTAAGTAAAGTAAGCCAGACTCAAAGAAACACAGTTGCATGATTTCCCTCATTTGTGGTAACTAGAATGTGCCTATAAATCTACAAGTAAACACAACAGCTGGTAAAGGACAAAATATTGCACTTGGACATAATCAATTTAATAGGACTCTAAACATTCACACAGTGAGCCAAAGGAGGATATTCTTAAGACAGGATCACAAAAGCTCAATAACTGTGTGTATATGATCAGATAATATGATATTCATTGAAATGAACTCCAAGAAATGGAAACAGAGAGTTTTTGTTATTGTTTTGGGTTTTTTTCCCCTCCTTCATTACTGTTTTTGCCTTCTGTACCTTTTGTCTTGTTTGTAAGTTTATCCGTTTTGGGGAGTGTAAAGGGGAACAAAGAAATGGTGGGAATAAGGATGAACAAATTCAGCAGGGATACTTACTAGACATGTTGAAAATGAGCTATAAAACTTTAGGGGGTTAGCCCCGCTTTCACTATATTTGATGTCAGTATAACATGTGGAGGAGACGGGGACAAACAAGTCGTTTAAGGATTCAGGTGGACCTGTTGCAACAATGAGAAGTACAAAATGTCATGTCAAAACCAGCTTTACAATGTCGGGGGCGGGGGGGGGGGGGTATGATTGGGGGGGGGGAGGGGGGAGGCTGGGAAGGGAGGTGAAGGGTAAACAAAGGAGGAGGCTGCAATGCTTGGTAAGAAAAGTATGCATTTTCCTGCCCATGTAATTGTAACCCCTCTGTACAGTATGTTCTCAAATAAAATAAAATTAAATTAAAAAAAAAAAAAACTTTAGGGGGTTAGGATGGAAAAATTGGAATAAAGAGAGAGGGTGACATTGTTCAAAAAGAAATGGACTCATTACCTGACTTACATAACTGTAACCCCTTTGTACATCACTTTTACAATAACAATGAGTATTTTTTAAAGAAAGAAAAAGGAAATTAGAGCTTAGAGTTAAGAAGAACACTGTCAAAAGTTTAGGCAGGCAAAGGGGAACATTCAAGATTTCTCAGTCAGAATAAGAGCCATGAAAGAGAGATGGGTGATGAGTCATTGCTCTTCCATCTTCCCCTTTTCCCAACCTGCACCTCACAGCACTACATGTTCTCTTCTTCTCATTCCCATAAGAGGTCCTTCTAATGATCAAGTGCCAAGAAGATCGAACATGTCTCTTAAAACAAGGAGATCATAATCTGAGGACCTTTAATTAGCTATTGCTATGATTTTACCCATTCCAATGTGGAGATGTTTAAGAGTACAGCCTAGTTCAAGTCATTGGAGGTGCTGCTTATGGGGTTAACATAGTGCTCAGGGGACCCTAGTTATTTGCTTTCTAGGAGAAATTGTTATAAATGAGCAAGACTGGCCTCTTCCCTTGGGTCTTTCTGGCAACTTGTCTCAGATTCAATACCATTCCCTGCACCTCCTTTGGTTATATTTTATTTAGCATTAAGTATTTTTATAGCTATGAATAGGGTTGAACATTACTTATATTACTAGATCACTTAATTACACTGCAAACTAGCATCAAACTTGGGTTAAAAATATGTACCCTGATATGTTTTAAACAACAACCACAAGGACATCCATAGAAATATTCTGAAAGGATATCGACAGTGTTAAACTAAATGAGTAGAGTGTGAATTAAATAAGCAATGGAAATAGTTAAGTACTAATTTTATATTTTTTCTAAGCAGACACATATTTAATGACTCCCTTACTAGCATGCTGATTTATGGCAATACTTAATGTGGCATGTATATCTTATTATATTTTGGTTAAGAGAAAGACTTCTAATTTTCTCAATTGTGTTGACTGGAAGTCTCCTGTGGAGTCAGCCTTGTCAGTTAGTTTATTAGTTAATTAAGTGTCATTTTATACCTTATTTTCTAAATTCCAGGCACCCCAAAGAGCTTTCTCCATGAATCTTCTCACTATCAAGTATCTCCATAATTAGTCTCATCTTAGACTACCTATTATTCAATGCACAATAGAACAGAACAATTAATTTGGACCACATGCAATTATGTTGAAAGGTCAGGTGCTACCCATAATAAAATTCAGTTCAAAAGTGTGTTTGGGGAGAGTATTAATATGGCTATCCATGAGACTTTTTAGGGGCAGAAAATCTCCAAGTGCAATTAAACAGGCTGTAAAATAATCACTTGCAATTTTTCAATTTTAAAGCAAGAGTTTTTTAGGATGTTGTGCAAAATGAATACTTCTAAGGCTAATCAACTTTGGGAGATTTACATCAAGAGGTGACAAATTCCTACCCTAAAGCAGAAAGCATGTAATTTGGCCTGAAACTTCTTACGTGAGCTTCAAATCATAAAGAGCTTTCCTGGAGCAGTTGTTACAAACCCCTCAAATAAAGTTAATAATGAAAATGCTGCCTTTATCCATCTGGGGTAATTTGAGCTATGGCCATAAAAATTACATTGAGAAGTATGGATGTGTGGACTATAAAGTATCCTCAGTACCCAAATGTCCATGAATTTATAATACTGTGCTCTTCAACATTGTTATGTTTGCCTATTAAATGCAAAAGTCTGAAGTAGACTCTACTCTGGAGGAATTTCCAAAGATACTCTGTCACTATTAAAGGCATTTGTATATTTTACAGTCCAAGCCAGACTTATAAAATGTTCATTGTTTCCCTCATTTGTGGACAATTTTGCTGATAAAAGTGATGGGAGGACAAAAACGTGGAAGAACAAAAGACAAAAATGGCAAGAAGACATTTTTCTCTATACTGTGTGGAGACACAAACGATATTTTAACGTAAGAATAAGCAAGAAGAAATGTTTGCAATATGAATGATGAGATATTACTACTTATCTATTTCATGGTAATAAAAAGACAGTAAATATGGATTATTGATAGAAGTATTCCATAAGTATGTTGACTAAAGTGTCTATTATGTGACGTAGTAGTGATTTAGGTACAGTCATTTGTTATCTCAGTGATTTTTCTTTAGTATTAAAATACTGAGAAGCCTTTGCACCAATAAAGATTTGCACTCTGGAAATAGATTGATCTTCATTTCAATCTATACATCTGCTTTACTAGCTTGATGGCCTAGGGCACATTCCTTAAGCTTTGTGGGGCCTAGCTTTCCCATCTGTAAAGGACAATTTAAATACTAGTAACAACCAGGTACTTTCGATTGCTAGTGACAGAATAATTCATTCAAACTAGCTTAAACAAAAGGTACATTCATTCACTCACATAACCAAACAACAGTGAGGCAAAAGGTAAAACTGTCCTTAAGGTCAAGAGTGCAGGGGGCTGGGAAGGCGGCTCAGTGGTAGAGCGCTTGCCTTGCATGCATGAGGCCCTGGGTTCAATTCCTTAGCACCACATAAGCAGAAAAATCCAGAAGTGGCGCTGTGGCTCCAGTGGTACAGTGCTAGCCTTGAGCTGAAGAGCTGAGGGACAGCGCCCAGGCCCAGAGTTCAGGTCCCACAACCGGACCCCCCCCCAAAAAAAGAGTGTAGGACTCAAAATGTTGTGGGCTTGGGGATTCAGAAGCCCACCCTTATTCACAATTGTTACAAACTCATCAGAACAAGTTACCCCTTTTTGTTCAAGAACCCTAATGGCATTTTGATAATTTCTACTTCATCACATCAACAACACTCTTCTTTAAAATACAAAAATAGGGGCTGGGAAGATGGCTCAGTGGTAGAGCGCTTGCCTTGCATGCCTGAGACCCTGGGTTCGATTCCTCAGCACCACATAAGCAAAAAGAAAAAAGCCAGAAGTGGCACTGTGGCTCAAGTAGTAGAGGGCTAACCTTGAGCTGAAGAGCTGAGGGACAGCGCCCAGGTCCAGAGTTCAGGCCCTACGACCGGACCCAAAATAAATAAATAAATAAATAAATAAATAAAATACAAAAATAACAGTCTGAATGTTTATTTAGACAATGTCTCTGCAAATAAACTCAAAGTTAACCACTACTTTCTTGGAAAATCCATCTCTTACTAAACCTTTAATTTTCAAGAACAGGAAACTTTGCTTCATTAATTTATTTAGCCTATTATTTCTTTATTATGTAGGGCTATGTAAACACCCTGAATTGAGAGCAAGAATCAGAGCTAGAGCAAGAGAATGAGAGAGCAATAGAGAAAGACAAAGTGTGTGTGTGTGTGTGTGTGTGTGTGTGTGTGTGTGTGTGTGTGTGTGTGTGTGTGTGTGTGTGCACGTGCCCTGGCTACATCAATTCTTATGTGGAAACTTCTCTAAAGTCTTCCTATTTACTAGATTACAATCTAGTCTCATCAGCACAGTATTTAGGGTCCTTTGCAATAGGACTTACAGTCTCCTTCCCATCTCTAAAGCATTCTCCACTGACTACTGACTTCTGTTGCATTTAATTAACTCATTTTTTAGCTTTCTAGGCATTTCTTATCTCTACACTTACTTTGAAAGCATTTATTTATCTTGAGGAAAAATAAATAAAATAAAAAACTTCTCCCAGCCTGGTACCATGGCTTATGCCCACAATCCTAGCTACTCAGGAAGTTGAGATCTGAAGGAGGAGGTTTAAGATCAGCTCAAGTTAAAAAAAAAAAAAGTCTGTGAGAATCCATCTTCAAAATAATCAGCAAACAGCTAGGCTGGAGGCTTAGTGTAAGTGGTAGGGAGCCAGTCAAGCAAGTACAAGACCCAGAATTCAAACTCCAAAAACAAACCTCAAAGAAACAACCACCAGTAATAAGTGAGCTAAAGACTAAAAGAGAAACTTCCCTGAAGAGGAAATAAGAATGGCCAATAGACACATGAAGAAATGCTCAAATTCTCTAGCCATAAATGCAAATCAAAACAACATTGAGATTCCACTTCATCCCAGTTAAATGGCTATAATCACGAAATCTAATAACAACAGGTGCTAGAAGGAATGTGGCCAGAAGGGAACCTTACTGCACTGTTGGTGTGAGTGTAAACTTGTTCAACCATTCTGGAAAGAAGTATGGAGGTTCCTCAAAAGACTACACATAGAGCTCCCCTATGACCTAGCAATCCTACTTCTGAGCATGTACCCAAATAATCACAAACAAAGCTATACTAAACCTACTAGCACAACTATGTTTATCGCAGCATTATTCACCATAGCTAAGATATGGAACCAACCCAGATGCCCCTCAGTAGATGAATGGATCAAGAAAATGTGAGATAGATATAGATATAGATATGAATTCTATGCTTCCATCAGAAAGAATGACACCACCCTATTTATAAGGAAATGGAAAGATTTGGAAAAAATCATATTAAGTGAATTAAGACAGACCCAAAGACATATAGGCCCCATGGTTTCCCTCATTTGCAATAATTAGTATATGTCTAGGATAATCTTATCAAATGAGCAGAAAAACTCAAAAGCTATGTACATATGACCATATAAGATGATGCTTGTTAGGTTTTTAAAGAAGAGGTGGCCAAATAAAAACCATACCACGCACGTTGTATTCAGGTAAGGGGCAGGTTTATTCAGTAGACTGGCTGGCACCAGGCCAGGCTGGCACTCCACAGGGCTGGCAAAGAGGGTGCCTGGCCCTGGGCTAGGCCTTATCTAGGGTAGGGGCGGGGAAAGGTGTGGCCAGGTAAAGGGAGGTGGGACCAGGTGGGAGAAAGGTGTGGCCACATCAGATCCAGATGTGACCTCAGCAGATGCAGATGTGACCTCTTCCAGGCGTGTCAGTTGCCTAGGTAATGCAGGTACTGGGCGGGGTCTGCTCGCCATCCAGGAGTGGACCTTACAATGCTAAATGAAATGAACCCCAAGACATGGACACAAGTGGTCTTTCTGTGTTGTTGTTGTTTTTAACATACTAGGTGATTTTTTTGTTTCCTTTTTATGTTCTTCTCCCTCTGGTATATCCCCTGTTGTTACTGAATTGAATTTTGGTACCCTGCAGCTTGTATATACATTTACATTTACCTAATTTGGGGAGGGAAAAGGAGTAACAAAATGCTGAAACATGTCACAGGATGGCCTATTGCAACAATGATACTCAAAAGACAGTGTATTGGAAATGAACTTTACAACTTTGGGGGGCGGGGAGGAGGAGTGAGAGGTGGGATAGGGAAGGGATAGTAGGAGAACAACAAATGCTCGACAAGAAATGTACTCATTACCTTACTGATGTAACTGTAACCCCTCTGTACATCATCTTTACAATAAAAACTTAATACTAATAACTAATAAATAAACCAGAAGAAAAAATGTACTCATCAGCTTGGAACCTACACCAGAACATGTTCTCTAACCAATCTACCTATTCAGAAGTGTACCTGAACAGATATATATATATATATACCTAAAAATTCAGCGTTTGAGACGAAATGACAAGTACCACATATGCCCACCTTGAACTTCTCAATCACAGTGTGATAACCTCAGATGGAGGCAAGTATTGAGTACAGAGGACTGCCCCACTGCTAGGGACAGCAGGGAAAGCTGAACATGGGGCCCACTCAGTCACTGTTTCTCTATACTGAGTTCCTATGAGAAACTCACTGAGGGGCTGCAATGCAGCTAGATGGCTTCAGAGAGGTGTGCCTTCTAAATTAAACATTAGTAATAATGACAATAATAATCAAAAAAACCTGTTTGGCATTCATTTTATTTACCAATCCCAAGGACAATTCCCTTGGACTGGTTAATCATGCATTCACAGGTGCAGCTCTAAGAATATTATTATCATTTTAACTGATGTTAAGGCTGGTCTCATCGGAGACCTGAAAGATCATCTCTGCTTCGTCCACCTTCTAATTCTTACTTGTTTTCCAAAATGGGGCTCAAATATATTTTCTACAAACCGAGTCAGTCTTTAATTTGTTCTCAAAACCTTGCTAGATTTGGCTTAGCTCTTCTTATTACTTTTTTTTGGTGATACTGGGGTTTGAAATCTGGGTCTTCCTGCTTGGCTAAGGTACTACCATTTGAGCCACACCTGCAGCCCAGTGTTTTGCTAGTTATTTTGGAGGTGGGATGTCACAAACTTTTCTTTACAGCTAGCTTTCTACATCCATCCTCCAGATTTCAGTCTCCTGAGTAGCTAACACTACAAGCTTGAGTGACAGACTCCCAGCACTTTAAAAGAGGACAAAGCCACTGGTTTTTTGTTGGTTTTTGTGTCAGTCTTGGCACTTGAACAAGACCTGGGCACTGTCACTGAACTCTAGTGCTCAAAGGGAGTGCTTTACCATCAGCCATAGCTCCTCTTCCAGCTTTTGGGTGATTAATTAGAAATAAGAGGCTCACAGCCTTTCTTGTCTGGGCTGGCTTTGAACTGTGAAGCTCAAATCTCAGCCTCCTAAGTAGCTAGGATTACAGGTATAAGCCAACAGTGCCCAGTATGCCAGTTGTTTATTAAAACCAGTTCCACTGTAACACTCAATACCAGGTATTAGTTGAATGAAAACTGCACAGAAAATCATGTTTTATTTAAAGAGCAATCTATGATGAATTTACCTTGTTATTGCCAATATTAATTCTAATGCTTAGCATATACTTATTAAATGAAGTAGTGAATGAATGAATAAAATAATGAGGGTTAGTTATATGTGCTTCCTATAACGTTAAACAGATTTTCAAATGTAATCTCCTATTATTTTCTTAGGAGGTTTTGGATCATTTTTCTCATTTGTTCCCTCCATACAAATTTCTACAGATGGTCTAACATTCCCATTTTCTATTATTCTGTATTACAGTTAAAATTACAATTGCTGATACATTCCTGCTGATGTTTGTCATTAATCCCACTCAGCCAAGGAAAGATCAGTGGTCATCATGACATATGCTACTAACTTTCTCCAAAAAAAAAAAATTCTATTTTCATGCCAGCTATCTCTCATTTAACAACAAATTTAGAGGATAAAATATCAGCATCAGGGTGTTTTATCCTTGTCTTGTTGATAGTCATTCCTATGTATGGAGAAGAATGTTTGGTTTATTCCAAATGAAAGACAGTAAAGTAGATGTTTCTGACACATTAATCCCCCATATTGGAGTTTCTTAGCAATGATAATCCTGTCACAGCTGTTAGAATTTATTCCTTTATCCATGTGACATTTCAACAGGAGACAAATCCTAGTTATTATAAACAGAGAGAAACCATTCCGTCCAAAATGGCCTGAATTAGCAACTTCATTCTGCTGACAAGCCTTGTTTTGGAAATTTGTAAACATTATTCTTGCACATTTGATTTTTCCTTTCCACAAATCTGAAGCTACGTCAGCCTTTTATCCTATAAAAGTTAAAGCTGCCAGTTTAAAATGTTGATTTAATTACATGCTGGGATGTGCAAGAAGGAAATGTATAGTCATTTAACTGGCTAAGCGATGGAGGAAAAGGTGGGTGGCTGCTGTCGGCTTGATTTTAGTGTTCTGTAAGGACCTGTGATCTCTGGATCAATCTGGGAAGGGAGCTGTGGATACTGAAGAAAAAATTGAATGGATATTTGACAAAGGCATTTTAATGGAGCTGAGAAAGAGCTTTCAAGTGAATTACTAGTTTATGTATATTTTCTCAAATAACTGTGAGTTCTTTATTTGAGCTGACATGGGTGGGATAAATATATCACTATCTTACTTGCCTGATCAAGATATGAGACTTTAAGTGGTATATGGAAAATAAATACATGCTAAGGAATAGCTTGTAGTGCCCAGGTCTATAATACTGAACTACCTGTAGATCCGTATCTACACATAATTCTTGAGATTATTCTTACTTCTTTTCCCTTGGTGAGTAAGTGCTCAGCTAACAAGGCTTGTTAGATGAGTAACAATGAATCTGACTTTTTTCCTTCTGGTTAGGTAGAACTGTTTTCAAACCATGGGAAGAACCATAAAAGCTATTGTAAGAATACAATAAATGGTGTGGACCATACAACATTAAAATGCAGAAAAACACAGTGTTGTAGGAAGTGATCGTGGGACACATTTGAACCTGTGTACCATGTAAATTGCACATGCAGGATTTGTTTACACTGAATTATAATTGCTTTTACCTTTTTATTCTTTAAAAATATGATTTTTATTGTAAAAATACTGTACAGAGAGAGGGGTTACAGTCACATGAGCAAGGTAATAAGTACATTTCCCATCAAGCATTGTTACCATTACCTCCTCCTTTGTTTTTCCCCTACCATCGCTTCCCTCCCATCTTCACAACTATACCCCTCTCCCCCCCACTACCCCCCAACCACCCTGCCTAAATTGCAAATTTCGTTTTTCAACATAGTGTCTTGTGCATCTCATTGTTACAATGGGTCAACCTGTATCCCTATTTAAGCATCTTGTTTTTCCCTTCCCCTCCCCAAATTAGGGAAGTGTTTATACAACATGCAGGGCACTGACATCAAATGCAGTGAAAAAATTTTCTGACTACATGGAGTGACAGGATGTGTGCTGAAGATAAAACCAGATCTATTCCATATGATATCTAAAATGGTTAGCATTCAGTAGAAAACTATTAGACTTGCAAAGAAACAAGAAAGCATGGTCCATATTAAAAAAATAAAGAAGTCAGTAGAAACTATACTAAAGTGTTACTGGACACAGGGATTTTTAATGGCCTCAAAGGAAATGTTACTTTTTAAGTAGTTAAATAAAGATACAATAATGAATCAATGAGTAAGGAATTTTAACAGTTTTAAAATCTTAAAAAAATAGAAATTCTGAAGTTGGAGGCTCAATAGCTAAAGAAAAATTTAAATAGGGGAATCATAGCATATTTGATATGGAAGAAGTGAGCTTAAAAATAAACCAATAGAAAATATATTATCTAAAGAACATCACAAAAGTGATAGAGGAAAATAAGCGAAGCCATTCAGAAGCATGGAGAAAAATAACAAGCATGGCAGCATACATGTGCTATATATATAATTCCAAAAGACAAAGAAAGGGTAGGAAAAATGTTTGAGAAAAATAATTCCTGTAACCTTTCTGAATTAGATAATAATAAGCCAACAGATCAAAAAAGTTCAACAAGCCCTAGCGGGAGCAACATATAAAGATCACTACCTAGAGATATCATAATCAAACATAAAAATCTTAAACATCAATTGAAAATGACTCATCACAAGAAAAGGTGAACTCTATACATACATTCTTTTTTTTTTTTTTATTGTAAAGCTACTATACAGAGAGTTACAGTTACATGAGTGAGGTAATGAGTACACTTCCTCTTGAACATTGTTACCCCCTCCATTGTTTTCCCCCTACCATCCCTTCCCTCCCTCCCTTCCCCGAGGTTCTTTTTTTTTTTTTGATTGTGATTAAATGATTACATAATTTCAAAGTCACAAGTTCATTCTAACTTCCCTGGAGCAAATTGTCTACCACAGTCTGTAATATATAACAGTGTTCACATGTTATATACCATATTTGTGATCAGCAGCATGGGGATATTTAGTAGTGGTTCAACCAGATGAGCGGGAGTTCTTTGTTTCTTAAGTCCTGTTAGTTTTGTCGTATCACCTAACCTTTTGGATTTAGCATCCACTTATCAGGGAGACCATGTACCGTTTGTCT